TGGAGTGGACCCCCTAGCCCAGTACCTATTTATGCTTCTCCCAGCACCTTACTGCGGTTGCCAGGGAAGGAGTAGCCGGGGTTGCGTCAACTGCTGCATCCGGTGAGAGTCCTCAGACCCCCCCCACACCCCCCCCCCCCAAAACATCAAAATATTGAAATAGACCGGAGTACCCATTTCCATTCCCCCCCCCCCCCGTTCACCCCACTCCCCCCCCCCCCGCGAGGGGGTCCCCATCAGACAGCTGCAAAGTGTTTCACTGTCAGTTTGAGCCCAAGACGCTGAGTTGCGCCCGCGTTTGGCTCAAAAAAAGATCAAGTGCTGCGCCATCTGTTTTTCACAATAATTGACTTCATGCAGTGTAGTTAGTGTAGTTCTGACTTGCACGTGTTGGGTGCTGGTCTACGCCTTTCGCAGTCGTTTTGGCATGTAAAGAACCGCGACGACCGGAAGCGCTGCAATTGCTGGGCTTCCCCTCAGAACGGCAGCATGCTTGCGAAGGGATGCAGAGGCGACGAGGTAAAGCTTGCCACAGCAAGGTTGACTTTCGCTACGAAGTGGAATGCGGGAGCAAAAGCCTTGCATCAGCAAGAGGCTGCCCTCCATGACAGTCTCCCGATACACATCAAAAGCATCCCTAAAGGCAAGAGAGGTGTTGTGGCAGGAGATGATGGACCACTCATTACTCCTTCCCCGACGCGGACCTTGTCCGAGACATGATGAAAGGTTGTAGTTTTAGTGGTGAATGAATCGATTCGGTATTATAGTGGTTTGCGATGTATATTTTTCTGTGTGTTTCTTGCCCGGTGTTTTGCTGAAATGAAACGGTTTATTTTTCGAATTAAATAATTGTAAAGATCCTCGTGCTACAATCTTGTCCAACACATTACGGCAGTTTTTCAGCCAATGGTGCTCAATGAGGAGCCACCCGTCATTAGCCCAGCACCGATGGAAAAAGGCCCAGATGCTGCAAAGGCCTGTTGGCAATTTCTGGACCGTTTGTAGACGCGCATCATATCTTGTTACAGGTTTGCTGGTGCCAGCATGCTTTGCAAATGGTGCCACTGTCCCCTGTCTCTGGACCATGTGTTGCGGACATGCACTTATATGCCGTCATCCTGCCCAGCAGAGCCGCAATTGCTACGCACAAAAAAGTTTGCGATACCAGAAGTCCGCGAGATCGTCTCAAATAGGCTTATTGGCATTTGTTGAAAATATTCAACAGTTCAACGATCGTTACTTTAGCGTGGGTGGCTCCAGATCATGTGGTGCATTCGGGACGATGCACAGGGAAATACAGTTGGAAGCATCCGTTTCGGATGATTTTTTCGAAGGAGACTACGAAACAACGTTGCATGTTCCAGAGCCCGACACTGAACCGATACACGTATCTGCGATGCCTCCGCTTCTCGGTGTGCTTCGCCACATCTGGTTCCTCGCGGCTCTTCTTGCGGCTGCCCAAGGCAGGCATTGATTCCAGAGCTGTTGACGTGTTTGACATGTTGCGGTGGATGTAAGGCAGAGGGTGGTTCTTTGCGTTTCGGAGGTTCGACTTTTCAGGGATCCTGATTTTCCAACTGAGATGTTAGGGAAGTCGGCACAGTTTTGATTTAGCCTTGTATGAACATGTCTGCGGTCCTCAAGGTATTGTTTGTCAGCACAATACGCAAGGAACGTCGACCGAGAACAACATAACAAACTTCGGATGTGGCAACGTATAACGGCGCGACAGTTCGAAGGTTTCTGCTGCAGGCGTGGGTTTGGAATCTCACTGCTTTGTGGCTTGCATCCCCGCTCTCTCAACTCAATCGTTGAGACTCAGAAGTTTTTTCGCGATTGTTACAGCCAAAAGCTGGACCGCTCAACGAACGGACTGACAATCGCTTCCGCCAGCTTGAACTCCGGAAAAACAAGGCAACCGGTGAGCCTTCAACAGCTTTCAAAAAGGACTTCGGGTACACTGGTCACCTGTCCTCGCAAACCAGTCTCAGCTCTTTATCTGGGGCATCGCCTGCAGGCAGACGGCTTCGATGGATTTTACGTCAAGTTTTCTGAACCCACCATGCTCAGACAGGAGACCCAGACTATTGGATAGTTGGAACCACGAAATGCAAGGCTTACGCTCGAAGCCAACCTTTCAGGTGCGGCTGGGCAGCACGACCTGGATAGCCAGTGCGCTTTGCAGGTCAGCGCGAAGGCTTCTCGGGGGGGGGACCTTTTGTGCGAGGTGAAGGCTGTTAGGCTCCATCGTTGCGAGTTTCTCAATCTCCATGACCACTTGCTTGATGGCCTCAACAACTACTGTTGCACCATGAACATGTGACGGCGAAAACCAAATTGCTGCCCATTTAGTTTAAGCACGGGGAGCACATGAAGACTGTGGCATGTCCTGCCAGCTCTAGAAAATCGCGATTGGTAATTCGAGATGCATGGCTGGGCACCAGAAGCACATCTACAGGGTAGCAAGGTTAGATAGTTAGATGTAACTGTTTCTGAGACGCAACTTGTTTTTACTAGATGTAATGTAGCTCCTACAGAATGCGAGGAAGCCCGGACTAGCTCTGAGACCGTACACGAAAAGTGCGCTGTCTACTAGCTACTAGTAATAGGTTTGCTGCACATAAGTTGGGATTAAGGCTTAGACTCCATTCTGCACGGGCCTCCCTCTGTCCCTCTCTGTTTCTCTCTCCCTGTCTTCCTGTCTCCCTGCCTCCCGGTCTCCCCGCCTCCCCGTCTCCCTATTTCCATGTTTTACTTTTTTTTTTTTTTTTATCTCTCTCTCTCTCTCTTTTCTCCTCGTTCTCTCTTTCTCTCTGTGTCTCCTTCTCTCTTTTTATCTCTCTCTCTCTCTCTCTCTCCTCTATCTCTCTATCTCTCTCTCTCTGTCTCTCTGTCTCTCTCTGTCTCTCTCTGTCTCTCTCTGTCTCTCTCTGTCTCTCTCTGTCTCTCTCTGTCTCTCTCTGTCTCTCTCTGTCTCTCTCTCTGTCTCTCTCTGTCTCTCTCTCTCTCTCTCTCTGTCTCTCTCTCTCTCTCTCTTGTTCTCTCTCCCTATGTATGTATGTATATATATATATAAACAAACACGCAGCAACATGGAGTTTGCATCTTGGCAGGTTGCTGCTATCGTCGCTGTCATCGAAGATATTTCTTACCTTCATCATCGTCACGTGTTGTCATCTGCCATCACTACATTCGCCAAAACCATTTTTTCACATCCAGAAGAAATCGCAAAGATACGTCGAGTGTAAACTCCAGTTCAAGAGACTGCGCTCTCAAATCCCATGGGGTTTCGCTGCTGGGTGAACTTCTAACCGAAGACGAAAAGCCCAAGGAGTGAACCTTTTACCGAAGACGACAACCCTAAGGAGTGACCTCAGCATGAACGTTGTACCGAAGACGAAACCAGCAGGAGCTTTTTTACTGAAGACGAAAATCCTGAACCCAGCATGAACCCATGAACCTTTGACCGGAAACGAAATCCCTAAACCCTAAGGAGTGAACCCAGCAGGAACATTTTGAGTTAACCTTTTACTGAAGACAAAAACCCCGAGTAGTGAACCCAGCGTGAAGGTTGTGGCATGGCGCGAAATGCTCGACAGAGAAGTTAGAACTAAGCAGGCCATTCGCAGACCCTCTGCGGACAGACAAAGATGCAGCTAAGCAGTTTTCATGGAAAAGCCGAAAAGTTACGTGTGGACTCCTAAGTCAAAACATGTTACATCTAACCTCCCTTCCCATCTACAGTATCGGTTTTGAACGAAGATGCAGCTCCTCCAATCCTTGACCCTGCAATATGGGTGTCCATTTCCACAATCGAGAAAAGAGTATAGGCTAATGGTAACTTGCAATAGATGTTCGGAGCAGCTTGCTTGTGCGCAGCAAGAACCCGTACATTAAGACTGCTCGTTTCTACGTCGATGTTTGAGGATGTGCAGAAGTCGCTATCTGTCGAAATTCCAAGGCCCAAGCCTTCTTCTATTCTTCAACGTCTCCGTCTGTCGACGGCTGGTTCTGACATGTTTACGCCTTCTTCAGGTAGTCGTGCCAGTACATGTACGATTCAAGACAATCGAAAGCTGGTGAGATCTTCAGTCAGTTAGGGTGTTTGCAAAATTAGGCAAAAACAACTGGTCCCTTGCCAAGAAGGAACACAGCTGTCATGAGGCCAACAGGGCTGCGCTTCGAGTTGCCATTTTCATGACGACGCATTGGAGCAACTGGGGCTTGTTCAAGCAAGGATCTCAAGGACAATGCAGACACCATAAGTGTATCATGCATGGAATCTTCAGAACCAGCACCTTTAGCAAGGGCTCCTAACGAAGAACCTGTTGATTATGTCAAATCCTAAACACAACGGTTGGATGCTTACTGTAGGATGGACAGGTGCGGTAGGAACCGGGTGCAATGCTTGGGCTTGAATTCGAGGTGTGTGGTCCAGGTTCGAGGTTTTGGTTCAGGGGCCCATGCCCGCATGGTCGGGGTTCGATTCTTGGGGCAGCCTATAGTTGCGTCTGTCTGGGATTTCAGATTTTAAGCTTCAAGTCTGTTCGTTGTAGGTCTTAGGTCCAGTGGCTAGCTCCTCCGTGCAATGCTGAGAGTTCAGGCTCCAGAGGTTTTCAGATTGGGGTGTGAGGTTGTGGCTGTGCGAGATGTGGGTTTAGAGTTCAATTTTAGGTAAAGCCTAGGTTCTCTATGCTTTGCTGTTGAGTTTGGACAGAGGTGAAGCGCACCAGAAGTACCTACCCTGCTGGGGTCGAGCGGCACAGCAGCTGCCACTTTTGCAAAACGCTGACTTGATTCTGTATACATCGGCAAATATCAGCGGTTTTGACCTTGCACAATTTCACTTCCGCAACATAACTGTCAGGAAGTATGTCAACCACGGTTGGCAACAAGGCGCCACACGAGCGGTCCAAGATGCTTTCGGTAAGAAGGGATACCAGGAGAAGTGGTTCGCGGGCTTCGACTGGGTTATCAGGCTCAATGCGGACGTCCTGATCATGGATGACGTGTGGTTGCGTAGGGCAATGGAGAACACCTCCGTCGATGGAATCTTCGGAGTGTGCACACCGGGAATCCTCACGGATTTTTTTGCTGTCCGCCCACAAGCTGTGGACTACAAATTGGTGGATGCATGCTCTGGTCGCTTTGGCGCAGAGAAGCACTTTACTTGTGCCATCGGGAATGTGCTTCGATCAAGGAGATTCACATGGGTGACTCGGAAGTTGTCTGCTGATTTTTGTTCTTTGGATGATGCTTCCATGTCATGTCTTGGGATAAATGAGGTGGGTCAATTTATGGAGTGTGTTACGCTTCGTCTACGTGCTGCGATGGTTCCTTTGTTTGTAAACCTCAGGCTTGCCGTCGAACATAGGGACCGTGACACTTGAGCCAACCCCACACCCCACGATCCACACCATCTCTGGACACCTGCAGGGCCCAAAGCGGGCCGAAGGGCTGGCAGTCGGGGTGGAGGGCATCCCAGCTCGGGAGGGTTCTTCTCAGATGGTCCATAGGTAACCGTGGAAATAGCAACTAGTACTCTTTCAGAACTCAGTGTTGTCACTCTGAATTCGAAGTTTGTCGATGCTGGCCACATACTCAAGATGATTTGCCCCCGAACAGCAGACTGGACGTTTGGCCTGGTCAATTTTCAATTGCTCAGTTGCTACGATGCACTGCCGGGAGCAGCCCCAAACCCCAAGATCCAAGACGCCAAGGTTGAAGGCGGTGAGGACAAGGTTTGCAGAATGGTTGGGGCACGTTCGCCTGTCGTACACGTGCACGGCTTTTCGAGATGCTGCCCCGACTACCTGTCTCCTCAGGCGTCTTGGACCACATGTTTCAACTTTGCGAAGCAACCTGCGAGGCAGTATTACAGGTGTTGTTGTTTGCAGCTGCTCTTGGAGCTAGTGCTGGTTGGTGCTGCTGGCGATGGTGCCGGTAGTGCTGCTGCTTCTGTTGCTGCTGCTGGCTACAGCTCTCGGCGCTATTGGCTCCTGCTTCTGCGTCTGTTCCTGCTGCAAATCGTGCAGTCGCTATTGTTGCAATTGCTGCGGCGACGTCCACGACGACGACGACTACTGCTATCACTACCATCACTACTATGACTACTACTACTACTACTACTACTACTACTACTACTACTACTACTACTACTACTACTACTACTATGACTACTACTATGACTACTACTACTACTACTACTATGACTACTACTACTACTACTACTACTACTACTACTACTACTACTACTACTACTACTATTTTTCAATTGAACGCTGTGCGAGCGGGCTCTGCACATAGCGGGCGATTGCCGCGGTGCACTCACTTTGGTGTGAAACTGACTCAGACCCTATAGCTGATCCGCCCAGGTCAAAAGACCTTTGAGTGGTTGCGGCCTACAGGCTTTGAGCTAACTGGCAGTGGTCAGCCAAAGCGAGTTTGCAGGCTGCAGGGTATCGAGCTCCAGATTGTTGCATGTACCTGAACATTGAAACGGAATTCGCGTTGTGTTTGCTGTTAGCAGAGCAGCAGTAGCGCGACCGGCAGCAGGCTAGGGTTTGTTTTCCGACTGACAGCGGCGGCATCCTGCAGAAAGGCCATCAGTCTGTCTTGGAAGAGACGCAAGTGAAAACAGGCATGGCCTCCGCGACTTACTGCTTAGTCTGCCATTGGAACCATTGGTTGCAGACGGGGCTCACTGATGCCAGGAGCGGCCGCCACTGGCCCCAGAGTCCGAGCCACGATTCCACCATCCTCCTCGGGACCAGGCATCGCCGTCCCTGTGGCGCTTGTCTGTGTGAGACTGTGTCTCTTCACCAGAGCGCTTGTCGCGCTGTTCGTGTTGATCGCGCAGCTCGCGCTGACGATGCCATTGATAGGTGGCCGTGTCGCCCTTGTTATGCTCAATCCGAAGCTTGCGGACAATGTGTCCGTCCCGGGACTGGTAGAAAATGGCGCGGTTTTGGCCTCCACTCTTTCTGGATGACTGGTCGTAGATGCATTTGAAGGTGGAGGCCACGATCTCGAAGTTCTCGTCTGTCTCGAGCAATGCATTCATGTCCGCATGATCCCACATTTTCTGGAATAGGGCGTGCACTATGCCATAGTAGGTCGTAGTGGACTTGAGCTCAGTGTAGCGATCGTCTTGGCCAATGGATAATGTGAATTGGCCATTGGCCCCGACCATGAGCCTCGTCTGTGTGATGTCCAGCCATGTGGCATCCTTGTCAGTGGCGACCTTCTGGATCGGGGCAAAGATCCACGGCACCTTGCCTAGCGCCCGAAAACGATTGGTCCAAAGGAAGACCTGCTCGGAGGCAGTGAGGCCGCCCACAATGGCCTGCTCCTTCATGATAGAATGGTCGCGAAGGCGTGAACCCACTCCAGCATTTGGTCAGATTGGCAAATGTGAACAATCTGATCTCGTTTTGGCAATTGACTTGCCTCTTGCTCCGGAGAGGGGTTGACGCTGTACTCCACCAGCTTGGTCGTGGTGACCGGGCCCTGGTATTTGACCTTTCTTTTGTGTGGAGGGTGCATCCACAAGGGGAGTCGGTCGGGGCTGGAGTGTGCGGGATGTGCTCCTGGACGGGGAGGCTGTTGGCCGGAGCCTGCGTCTGCTGGGTCGAGGCCGCGGGAGGGGGAGTGGCCGGAGTCGCAGTTTGGCCCGTGAACGCATTGAACGGTGCATCGCGGGTCTGGCTAGAGCCAGCAGTTGATGTCTGGTGCGACGGTGTGTTTGCCGAAGGCATAGGAAAGTCCGGCGTGCCCAAAGTGTCCTCTCTCCAGCCCAGCGTGGAGGAGGCAGTGGCCGGCGGCTCCTCCTTGATGTCTGCCTTCGGGTCATTGACCGCTGGTTCTTCTTTCACAGCACAAGTGGCCGGTGGCCCTGCGCGGTTGTGGTGAGGTTTGCCGGAATGGGGGGAGACCAAGTCCAAAGCGTGCATTGGACACCGACGCAGTGGGTATCCACTGGGGTGGGCGGTCTGCCGTTGGTGCTGGTGGCGGTCCGCCGCTGCAGCTGCAGCAGAAGGGGGATTGGCAGGCTCACGGGTCTTCAGGGTGAAGACACAGGCCGCGGGGGATGTTGCGAAGGACAGCTTCGGCCGTGATGCCGCTGTATTGCGGCTCCCGCTCGACCGCTGCCATGATCGCGTCAAAGTCGCCCCGCTCAAGGCTGCTGAGAACAGTCTCACCAACTACTCTGACTCCCGCATTGGTGAGCATTGCTCCCGCCTGTGCTGAGAAGGGCGCTGCTGAGGCATCGCCACCGGCCTCAATGACCTCCGAGACAATTTGGGGCACGCGCTGCATGAGTGAATTTTCATTTCTCTGAGCTGCCCTTGGGTCTCCCTTGAAGCCTTTGCGCCAGCTCCAGCAGCGGGTGAAGGCAACCCGGACACCCTTGCTCGTCTCGAAGAAGTGGCCATCCGATTGGAGCTCCTTGGACTTGGTAAGTTGTGCCGAGTGGCGCTCGCGGAGCAAGTACACCGGGCCAAATTGGCGCGTGTGGTTCCATCCCGGCACAGGGGTGTGGCCCATGTCTGCAGCGAGTAGCTTCCAGAGCTCCTTGCAGAAGATTATGTATTCGAGATTGGCGACCGATGTAAGGATCTTCTTGCTGAAGGCGTGATTGATGGCGCAGAGAATCAGAGGGTGACGCGGCTGACCATAGATGATGCCTTGAAAGATGTGGTCGTTTTTGACCCCAATGCCCATGACCAGGTATTCCTGGGGCAGAACACCCTCCACGCCATTTGGGCATTGCCCCAGCTCCTTGCTCCTTCGAACTGGGACAATGGCGCCATCTTGATGTCCAGGTACAGGCCGCCATGGTAATAATGGTAGACGTACCTGAAGACATCAGCCTTGTGAGCAGGCTGCCTCAGACTTCTGATCAAGTTTTCGCCGCTTTCACCAGCATGCAGTTGAAGGGTCTCGAGCAGGACCTCGTCGTTGCAGAAGGTGCGTTCGAAATCTGCCAAGAACTCCTGGCACATGCTCCTAGGACCGGGGTGGTCGTCATGCATGTACGTCATTGGTCGGCGACTTGCGTTCGGCTCGAGGAAGGGCCGAAAAGCCCATGCCTTGCCCGTGTGGCGGGCTGCCACCGCTTCTCCGCGCCACACAGGTCAAACGTGGCATTCATCTCTTTGTGGACATTGTCCCCCGTGCAGTTCCACGAACAGACAACCAGAACATGGATCGCGTTGGGCTTCAAACGTCGCATCGTTCGGATCGAACGGGACACAAGTAAGCCAATGACTCGATCTGCCACCAATGGCCGGAAGTGACAGTTGTTCTGGTTGTAGATCTGATCGACCAGAGGAGGAGGGCCTTGGAGACTCATGATGGTCTCATCGCTGAGCTCATACCTGCTCAGGCCATATTGATCCCTGAGCCCCGCGATCCAGTCGTAGGCCTGCTGCTTATGGGGCAATAAACTTTGGCGAAGGGGGATCATGCGCACGCTGACCTCATCGTAGTAGTGGTCGCGGAGGAAGTTGATCAATGCTTGGCTCTCTGCTGGATAAGGGCGCGTCTCACCTAGGACGCGGATGAACTGCCAAGCCAGCACCTCCAACACTGCCGGGTTGGGAGGCTTGGCACCCGTGTACTCAGCCGTGAGGGTCGCTCCCGGGCAGGAGATGACATAGCCGTGCATTGCACCCTGGTCCCTGAAACCGTATTTCATGTCGATGATGCCGTATGATTGGCCATTGGCCCCCTGCCATAGCAAGTGTTGCAGGGTGCTGTCGCTGAGCACCAGAAAGGGCTTCGGCGTAATTGGTGTAGCCGCCGTGCCAAAACTCCAGGGCGTTGGAAGCTCCGCGCCCTTGACTAGGCTTGGGTAGAGGAGGGAAGCTGTGAAAGAAATGCGCTAGATTAGAGAAGCTGTTGCCGTGGGTTGTGCATGCTGCTGTGTCGACACATCGTAACTGTGCCGTCAATGGTCTTGAACCCGGCTGTGCATCAGAGATACCCTTCAACATCCTCCGTGCAGCAGCAGTGTGTGGCAAAACTGCTATACAGCAGGCGGACAGGGGCACTGGTCCAAGCCATGGTGATCTGTTCCAGGGATCAGCGCCAGCGGAAACAGCTGGGAGAGCGACATCAGACCTCAGTAACAGTGTGCCGGCATCAGCAGGCATAGACATGTGTTGGCGGCTGTGGCTCTTGCAGGCATGGGTGCAATTTGCATCCGCAGTCGATTTCAAATCGCGTAGTGTACAAAGACAGGTAGCCTCAGCTGAATGGATAAAATCAATAGAGCCCATGGCCTTGCTCTCGTCCTGCTAGTACGAGAGGACAAGCGGTGGACCCCTGAACTTGAACGCAAAAACTGCTGGGCATTGCCCCCCTTCCAACTCTCAGCTATTTCTCAGCTGTGCTGCCGCCGGGAGCTAGAGGAGCTGGCATCTGTGCGACGCACCTCAAATCCCAAATACTGCAGGTATACAGCTGAATGCGCGGAGAGCTTGTCCGCATCTCGAATGTGATAAGTGCCTAGAATGAGACGGCGTCCCGTCCACGGCAGAACCAGGTGTCGTTTTGATGCATCAAAGCTGAGGTAGGGCAGGGTTACGGGAAGGACGTGACCCCTGGGTCCGACAGAGTCCAGTAGGTAGTCGCCAGCCGCATCCTCCACAAAGAGGTGACCTCCCTCGAAGTTGGAGAGGGGGATCAGGAGGTTGTTCACCTCCTTTTGGTTGTTAATATGCAAGCCAGAGGCCATGTTGCGTGCCAGGAAGAGGGTCGTGCGTGGATGGCGACCAGCCATGGTGTGCGCGACCGTGTTGAGGAGGCACGTCGCCATCGGAAAACGGTGTGTCTGTGTCCTCAGCCCGGCCATTGGCCCCTGCATGTATGCTCCCAGGGTGACAATCTGCTGGTCCGCAGACTGAGGCAGCGCCACCGCCGCATTCCGACAGGCCGAGGTAGTGGGCAGGATGTCCAGCAGGGCGTCCAGTTGCTCGAAGGTGACCCATCGGCGATGCAAGTAGTCCGCCGCGGCCTGTTCCACGGCACACAGAGTGAACTTGTGTTCCATTTCGTCCATGTTTGGAGGGAGCTGAAGACATATTCCTGGCGCCTGCGCCTGTGG